AACATCACAAGCATCAATGTTATAAAATGTTATAAAGGGAGGCTGGTCACGCGGGAGTGCGGTGATTTTGAAGACTTTCAAGGTAGAACGCTTCATGCAACCCTTGGAAAAATTCCCGAAAACCGCTAAACTGTGACGTTTATGCGTGGGGAAAGGCGATCGACAAGGAATGCTAGGCAACCAGAACGATGTGGCTAGGAAATTCCCTCGTCGATAATCAGATAAAAAAGGGGTGATATAATAATGACGTCATATCATTCACTTGGCAGGACGATACGATCTGAACTAATTAACTATGTAGACATTGGACGCGTGGTGTGAAGAAACACACCAAGACAAAAATCAGAACAATATTGTTATGCTATACTAAGTATATTCTATAGCACAAAAATATACCTGGTACTTAGATATTACAATCACCTTGGCTAAAGAGCCTTCATTTCGATCGTAATTGAGACGTCCACTAATGTCGCATACTCAAAACGAGGCTCTATAACTAAAGTGACGCACTCTGCCGTAATGATGTATTATCATTTAAAGTTTTAGATTAGAAATTTTTGGAACATTACCAAAACTTTTCTAGACTTAAAATTATTCAATCTATAATAGAACTTTACATTGGAAAACAATGAAAAAGGGGATGTAATACGTCAGCCGTGAAGCGGCGGGGGCAGCCAGTTCAAAAAGGCAATTGCTTCCCAATCAACGGGTGTATATTGCCTGATTTAGCACTAATTTTAGAACAACTGTCAACTGGTTAAAAATTAATCAAAGATTGCTTAATCATTGCTTAAAAATAGTTAAAAATTCCAATTCCTGTGAATAACTCACGAATTTCGAACTGTAGTTCCGGTAAAAAGGGCAACCTGTTACCAGTGTGGGTAGTACCAATGTGAAAATGCTGTGTTTGGACAACAGGGGCAGTTTCCCCCACTGCCCCCGTGGGTCCGGCGCACCTGGCCGTTATAATTAGACTAATTACAGATCACTGTAACACTGTTTAATCTGTTTAATACAGATACACCAATCAACCAAAATCTCTCGGGACATAATAATATGCATACATGAAGTACAGCCTATCTTACACAATATAAACTTGTTTTATAATAGTTATAATAGTTTTATAAAGTTATTCTGCAAAGCGATTTTTGATTTTTTCATTATTGGTAAGTACTTTTCACTGTTATTTTCATTTCCAATTCTACATAAATATCTCCTCAACATAATTAGGCAGTTTTTAACGAATATATTTGGGATAACAGTTCTTAAAATGCAAATTTAAAATTTGCATTTCAATATGGTTCCCATTGTACACATGCCCATACATGGGCAAAATATAAAATCTATAAAACTTCTTCATGCTTTAGATGCATCATCTCTCAATAAATTTGGGCAAGCAGTTGTAGTTTGGTTGCATCTCCAATATGGACTGACATTGAAGTATTGAACCCTACTTCATTTATATTTTACTCTAGGTCTAGTTTACATAGCTAGCTGTGTAATGCTTTATAGGGTGCAGCAGAACCAATTTTTTAAGTTCCGGCCAGAACCAGGATCCAACCGGAACTGGAAAAAAGTTCCGGCCAGAACCGGAACTTATTTATTAAGCCATATATAGTGATATGTTACTTTGTTTGAGCGGCGCCAGACAGTCAGACACTTCAGATCATCAAGGAGAGAGCTCACAAATTTTAGAATAAAAAGATTGACAAACGTTAAACGTCATAATGAAGTGTTAATAGCGTAAATTTCCCTTGTGTAGTCTAAATTTCTTGCCATGCTTTTTATATTAGTTTTATTAGTTAAAATGGGGTTCCGGTAACTGGCCGGAACTAAGTTCCGGTGCACCCCTACTAATGCTAGTTGATTTTACTCATCAAGGAGAGAGCACCGAGTCTGGTGCTCATTGGGTTCATCAGACTATCTGCCCATATGTGTTAAGTTATCCATTAAGTCACATTGCACCCTACCTTATAATTATTTTTTTCTGTCTAATGCTAGATATGCAAGTTTTAGTTAATTGTTAAGTGGGAGCATGCTTGGTGCTCAGTGGGTTGATACGTTTACTAACTGCAAGTGCACGGTGGTGAGCAAAAGTGTGCCGACAAAAGTGCATCATATTTTAAGTTTTGAAAGCTGGATACATGAGTGCAGCGTTGCCCTTGAAGAGTAAAATAAATTGTCTGGCATTAGACAGAGTAAAATAATACTAACAGTAGGGTGCATTCTATGGTTTGGAAACTCATTAGAATATAACAATATAACTCATTATCCATGTTAGTCAACGTTTATTCATAAATATGGTCCTTCACATGTATTGTATTTTTGCGATATCCACCAATAGCAATTTCCAATTTCCCTATTGTTCGAATCACAGATCTATAGGTAACTTTTGAAAATTAAATTTTGAAAAATTTTGAAAATTAGAACCATAGAAATGCCATTTCCTGCGATATGGGAATTAAATTATGAGCTTCAGTTTGATTTAAAAAATGGAAAAACCTTTGAAATTGTGTCATATTTCTGAATTTGATTTGTAAATCCACCCCTGAAATGTGTTTGCAATCTCTTTTTATGGGAGAAATCATGCAAATAGATTTCAATCATATCTGAAGGATTCTACCCGTCGAATATAGACCATGCATGTACATACATACTAGCTAGGGGTACAGGCACCCACAAGGCGAAATGTTCTCAAGTGAATGTGTCCAAATTGAGTGAATAATATCACACATATACTATTATATATACATACAAGTGTGATACCATTATTCCAGGCAGATTAGTCCAAATTGTAATTGCATTATATATTTGCAATGTATACAGTTTTCACTTGAAGTTTCAAACAAGGAAAGCTTGTGAACAATCGGTTCTGTCGCAAATGAGATGCAAAATTGAGAATATGTGAACCAGAAGGAAATATTTCATATGAGCATTATGAGGATGTTGTCGTGGAAATTTTATTCATTATTTTTTGGACTTAACCAGGAGCAGCTGTAAAAAATACAATATACGCCCTCTGGCAGGAATCATACCTGCAGCCCAAGATCTAACCAACTGAGCTGCAGAGTCCAGTTGTCAAGCTCTAACCACAAGTTAATGTAATTATGTTAACTCTGTAGCTCAGTTAGATTGTTAGAGCACTACCCTTACCTGGAGTTGCACACTTGTATTTTTCACAGCTGCACCTGGTTTGGTCAAAAAGGTATAAAATTTACACTCGAGATTTCCACCAGAATTCCTCAAACATTGGGTTATTACATTTAAAAACCTCATCACTAGGCTGGCAGTATCCCCAGATCATTGTTAAGGACCTCTATATTTCAGGATTTTTACCCCTGTGGAATGCAAGAAATATGTGTAACTGGCCCCTCTGGAAGAGTTTTCAACCTTCTTTGGAAATGCATTTTTACAGGTTAACCCCTCTGGATCTCGACAGCATGGAAAATGACTAATTAACCCTATTGGAAGTCGAAGTCCTCAAATACGAGGTTTAGGTATTAAATCTATTAATACTATTAGCCCAATATTTTATGTGCACTGGTATTAATTAAAGATGTCAAATTCTACATAATGTAATGTCATTGCATGTTTTTATATCTTTAGTGACTAAGTATTGTGCTGAACAGCGACTAAATACAGTGTTCTAAATGCTCAAAGGTAAGTTTGCATATTGTAGTTTATTGAGCGAAATCTACGTTGCATTGATTGCATTTGAAAAATGCCATATGTCATGATTGTCATCTGATATACTGATGACACTTCTGACAAAATTCTTCATTAATTAACAGTCACCAAAGCCTGAATTCACTCCTGCAAAATCACAATATAGGTAAACGTGGCTAGAATCAGTTCGTGTTTGGTGTAATACTGTGTTGACCAAGGAGAGACCAAGCCTCCAGAGGGGAGCCTACATCACCATATTCACCAAGCAGTGTGGCTCCGATAACACTAAGACACACTCGTTTCTCGTTTTCCATATCGCCAGAACACTTGTACTGCTCTGCTTCGTCGTTAACCACGGCAGATACAGCGGCGTAGCCACTATCAATTTTCTTAAATTTCACAATAAAAACACAGAAACCGGTCCAACTGCGATGTAGATACAAGCTTTCGTCTTCCTCGTCATAATATATAAACCATTTCTCCTCCATTTCCTCCGGAATAAAACCAAGTTTTATTTTTTTCATTTTTTTGTCAGTAAAGCCGACATTTAACGGCACTATTTTGTTTTTCACCGGCATATTTATCGTGTGCCAGTCACCTTTCTTCGCTGTTCTGTTGGCAGCCATATTGTTGTTTACATTCGTCTCTTGTCTGATCTTAACGGTAGCACTGGATAGCGCGTCTGTAATGCGAAGGAATTAATTCCGCTCGGCTATTTACACCAGGATTCTCACCAGAATGTTGAATAGGAGGCTATATGTATTTTTGCTTGTAAAATGTAAACGTCGTCGTTTTAAAACAATTGCGATACGAGCAATGCCAAAATAATTATATTGGAGCTAAGGCGCGGTGCGAAAACTGGGCGTATTTCGTTTCTTGATGTGTTGTCTGCAATCCCTCAGGCCTTAAAATATCTTTTACAGTGCCGTCTGACAAAATGTCCGATGACTTTTACTTTGGGTCGGACATATGTATGATGATGTCCGATGACCTTCAGTTTAGTTTGGCTCGGAAATAAGTCTGAATGACACAAATTAATATCAGCACAATGTATTAATTCTGAACTAAATGTTATGAAGATATTAAATAATTTGTGTCATTCATACTTACTTCCAAGTCAAGATTAACTTACTTGCCAATAATAGCAGTATAAGACTTCGACAATTTAAACCCGTTTTTCACTTCACCATTTCGCCGCTGCCCCGCGCTCGATGACATTATTAAAAACAACATTTCCAGTTCATTTTTATACAATACTCTGTCTGGTTCTCCATTTATAACAAACGAGCCTCTAGTCCTGGACTAGGGTACATTTTGATTTACGCTCGCGGAGAAAGCGTCGGACAAAGCTACAGTTCGGTCGGACACCAATACATTCGGGTCGGACAAAGAATAAACTTCAGTTTCACTTAGGTCGGACAGAATGTCCGGCGGTTTCCTCGCTACGTCGGACAATTTGACGAATGGGTCGGACAATGTCCGTGACCGACCGATATTTTAAGGCCTGATCCCTCTAGCTTTTCCTTCTGCTCGCAGTCTGCTACGTGGTACGTGGCTCAGAAAACAGATGTACCGGACCTTGGCGTAGCCCCGGTGCATGCATGAGTACTCAATTTATCATACTCTGTACTCGTTTTCGTAGTCAAATCTAAAGCTCTCTGACAACTCGTTTGACAACAGGAATGAAGTGATTCTAAAACCCAGACTTTTCTCGGTGCGTTCCCGTAGCGGTACGTAGTCGTGCTGATACTGACTCGTCCCCAGTAATCGTCTCTATTTTACTATACATAGATAATATTAGTAATCAATTTATATCATCTATTTATGGTAAAATAGAGTCGACTGGGAACGTGTCAGGTACTTGGTCGTAATCAAATCCAAAGTTGTCTAGTACACAGTCAGAAATCTCACAGGCTTGTCGCAAGTTGTTGATTTTACCCGCTTGCGGCAAGTTGTCAACAAATCGCGACAGGTGTGTTGGTTTCGTCGGGCGGTAACAGGCTTGCGGGAACAGGTCTGTAGCAAGCTGTTGACGACAGAGCCGTAACGACTTGTTGAAACGACCCGCTACAAACCTGTTATAAACCTGTTACTAACAAGATTCACTCATTCTTTCTAATGACAGTTTTAGTCGTTAAGTGAGAGCATGCTGGTGCTCAATCGTTTAATCAGTTTAGTGCCATTCTCGTACCCAGAGCCCTTCTTACGCGCGGTGCGACGAGGGGCTCTGGCCAAATCTAAAACCGGATACCATAAAAACATGGTAAAAGAATATATCCGGTATTAGAAAAATAACCTTCGTTGTAGCCAACCAGATACCAGTTTGATATGGATTTGGCCAGGGCCGCTCGTCGCACCGCGCGTAAGAAGGGC